TAAAACTTAGTTATTAGTTAAGTGGGACATTAGTATGGTTCTTATTATACATGTTAGAATGGATCTTATTATTATTATTATTTATTTATTTTTTTTCAAATATTTTAGTTTACATTTGTTAGTTCGTTTTTACAATATTATGAGAGTAAATGAAAAATTAATACAAATTATAAAGTAAGCAAATATTACTAACATTTGAAAAACTAGGTATGAAAGAAGATCTGTAAGATCTTATCGTCAGAACCTTATACTAGTGTAAACAAAGTATTATATTATAAAGTAACTACAAGTACAACAAAATAAAAATAAAATATACATACATATATCACTTTGTAGTATATATAATAAAGTTTAATAAATATTTCCATAATATAAATATTATTGTCAAATTTTGATAATACGGGAGAGAAAAAGATTTTTCAGCTTAACTTTAAAAAGATGCAAAAAAGTAGGTAGATCTAAATTAAAATTAGGCAAAATAATTTTGTTCCAAAGATGGAGTGCACGATAATCAATGCAAAATTGGTTGAAACTTGTTCGACAAAATGGCTCATATAGAAGGTTGTTATTTCTTAGAGAGTATTTATTGGTAGGTTTCAAAGTAATTAAACCATTAAAAACGGCAGGACAAAGATTGTTTTTACATATATATACAAAGCATAAAATATTAAAAATATTAAGTTCGTAAATATTAAGTATTCTCATTTCAGAAAAAAGATGTTTAGAGTGAGAAAAACGATCAGCAAAATTAATTACACGTATTGCATGTTTCTAACGGCGATAGAGAGGTTGTAGCTTACTTTTTTCAGTGCTTGCCCAAGCAATATTTGCATAATTCATAAAGCTATGAATGAATGCATAATAAAGTTGGTATAAAACTTTTTTATTTATATAGATTCTGGCCTTATAAAGAATTTTAATATTTTTTGAAACTTTAGTACCAGCATAATTAATATGTTGCTTCCATGTGATGTTCTCATCAAGGAATACGCCTAAAAATTTTGTGGTGCAATCTCTTTTTATTTCAATATGGTCAATAAAAATATCAGGTAGAGTTGGTGGTAAATAACGTTTTTTAATTATCGAATGAAAAAGAATACATTTTGTTTTTTTAATATTTAGGGTAAGTTTATTGCATTTGAACCAGCTAGAAATTATTTTGAGTTTTTCATTCATAGTAGTGAAGAGTTTATTAATGTTGTTATCAGATAAAACTAAATTAGTATCATCCGCAAACATAATACTTAAAAGATTAGAAGTTTTATGCAAGTCATTAATGTATATTTAAAAAAGAAGTGGTCCTAAAATTGATCCTTGCGGAACACCACATGAAATATCTAAAACATTTTTTTGATAAGGATCGTTAAAAGAAACGAATTGTTTTCGGTTTGTTAAATAACTTTTAAACCACTTCAAAATTACACCATCCACTCCATAATATTTAAGTTTTGAATCAAAATGCCATGATTAGCTGTATCAAATGCTTTTGATAAATTCAAAAAAATACCTAAAATGAATTGGGAATTTTTGAAAGAGTTGGAGATTTCACGGACGAATTGAATGATTGCATGCTCAGTAGAACTATTTTTTTTAAAGCCAAACTGATTTTTATAAAAAAAATTCTGCTCCTTAAAATAAGTATATAATCTATTGTAAATAATTTTTTCTAAGATTTTTGAAAATGTTGATAAAATAGAAATAGGTCGGTTGTTATATATTTTAGTTCTGTCTCCTTCTTTGTATATTGGGATTATCTTAGCTATTTTTAACTTATCAGGAAAAACTCCTTGTTGTATTGACGCTCTGAAAACGCACTTAAAGAGAATATTTTTTTTTTCTTAAAGAGAATATCTTTTAATTGTTCAAAGCATTCTAAGACTATATTTCCATTTATTTCATCAGCTCCAGGGGCTTTGTTTTTTTTAATAGATTTAAACGACACTTCAAACTCCTCAAATGATAGCTCAGAAGATAAATTATTTGAACAAATGCAATCATCCATCGGTGTTAAAAAGTTGTTGAACACAAATTGGGTATTAGGAATTTTATTTGCTAGTTTCGAACCGATATCAATAAAGAATTTGTTAAACTCATGAGCTATTAATCTAGGTTCAAAAATATCTTTGTTATCCACTCTAATCACCTGCGGTAGGGAACCTGAGCAAGTTTTTTGTTTTCCACCAATTTCTCTTAATATTTTCCAAGTACGTTTAGAGTCGTTCTTAACATTTTCAATTAATTTTGAGTAGTAATTAAAGTTTTTACGAGTTTTTTCAAATAGATATTTGTAATCTTTGTATATTTTTTCGTTCAAAGGTGTTTTTGTTTTTAAGTAATTTATATATAGCTTTTGTTTGATCTTAGATGATTTTTTAAAACCGTTAGTCATCCAAGGAGCATTTAAGCTTTTTTGATTTATTGTTTTTTCACAGATGGGAAAATTGGCATCATAGACAGAATAAAATGTTCAAAAAAAATTTTCACAAATTTTATTTGCGTCGCCATTAAAATTTATATGCTTCCAATGAAGCAGTAATAATTGTTTTTAAACTGTTCAATATTGTTTACATTATATATGCGTTTACTTATTTTATTATTTTATTATTAAGGATGAGTAAGATAGAACATTAAGAAAAACATAAGTTTCAGAAAAAATGAATGGGTAGCACAAAAAAAATAATAATAGCGTAATTTAATATAATATCGAGTGAATATTAATACCCTCATAATAGCTTAATTGTAAAACGAGTCTCAATCAGAATTCCCTTACTTTTCCATGACTATCCAAAGAAAAAAAATCCCTGACTTTTCGAGGTTTTCCATTACTTTAACCAAAATGAACTAACTTTCCAGGTTTTCCAGTTACAAGAAGAACCTTGTCTAATGTTTATAAACAGGGTTGGACTAGCCCACTGGGAAACTTTCCGGCAGACTTTTAAACTCTTCCAGCCGCCGGCTTCAGCCTGTTACTGTACTTAGTGAAAAAAAAAGTTTTTCCCTTTGAAATTCCATCAAATCTTCTGATTTAATAGTAGTATTAGGCTTTACTATTTTAAAGTAGTTTGTAGACTTTTTTATACGCGATTTTTTTTTTAAATTTAATTTACTAACAACCCGTATTACAGGTTGCTTACTGCTAATATTAATAATAAACGTAAGACATTATAACAGTATAATTTTTTGACGTGTCACAAGTACCGTAAAACTGGTAGATAAAGATATTAAAAGAAAGATCCACTAAAGCGTCAACAAAGTATATTTCTAAAAATACGTTTTGGGGGTTGCCCATTAATTACGTCAACAAAATAGGGGGATGGGAGGATCTGAACTTCTTTGACAATTTTTTACAAAGGGGAGGGGGTAGGTCAAATAAAAGCGCATTTTTCAGACTAGTATTAGAAACTGGAAAATACCTGAAACTTAACAGATTAAATAAAGTTATATGTAATGCGAACATTATAAAGTAACTTGAATTAATTTTTTTTTTTTTTTTTTTTGATTTAACACAAATTTTAGAAATTTTTTTAGTAAAAAAAATTGTAAAACAAAGCGCTTTGACATTTTTAAATGAGTTTTGTTTAAATTTAATCAAATAAATTAATAAAGTTATGAATAATAATAATAAAATTTATTTAAATTTAACGAAATAAACATAGTAAAATACTTATTTAAACTTTAAAAATTTAAATAAGTATTTTACTATGCCTTGTTTTAATTTTTTTTTTAATTTTTTTTCCATTACTTTCCATTACTAATAATATTTAATCGAAGTGATAGGATAAATGTAGAGTGATACAGAAAACAGTTGGAAATTTCAATAAAACTCATGTAGCCTAATGCACCAAAAGTATTAATTAATAAAGTAGTTTTAGAGTTGCAATCACCATATCTGGTATTTTATATTAAAAATATATACTATAATTATGATACAATTTTCTTTTTAGTTATATAGCAATGGAATAAATAAAGCGTTGTTAAGGAAATATAAAAAAATTTACTTATACCGCTTTCTTAAAAAATAGTTTTTAATGGTATTACCTTTTTTTTATATAAAACTACTTTGAAATTCGTAACTTATGATAGCTATATTACTTAAAAAAATTATAATTGAAAAAATGATTTTTTTGATTTTAAATAATGGTCTACCACCATGAAAAAGTCTTTTTTTTACATTTTGGGAACTTAAGGACAGCGTCGGAATAAGGGTTTGATAAGAGAGCCTACCGTTTTAAAAGACTGTTCAAAATAAACTTATTAAAAAAAAGTTTTTGTGTAACGTAAATTACGAAACGCGAATGTGAAATCGTGAATACGTATGTAAAATTCAAATAGGGAAACAAGGCCTGATATGATGTGTTTTGAAACATTTAAAAGCGATATTAGTGAGTTTTGAAACATTTGAAAGCCATATTAGTGAACTTCTTTCAATTACATCTAGCTTCTTCATCAATGCAGAATTGTTTTTACATGCTCCATACCATAAGCTAAGGTAGAGGCAGGCAATAATTTGAATATAAGAAATAGAACTTGCATCATTAATATAAAAGTAATGCATCATTAAAATAAAAAATCCAACTAAATTGGCTGAACGTCGGCTGCACGTCGGCTGAACGTCGGCTAAATGTCTGTTAGTCTTTTCGTCGGCTAACAGACATATAACCGACGATCAGCCGATATTGTTTTGTTCAGAATTTTGTAGCCGATGTTTAACCGATGTTACGAGCTCGGGCCGAGCTAGACCCGATGTTGTTTTTGCACAAAATCCCAAGCTTTAACACAGGGATTTAGTCCAAATTTTTTCAATAATGTTTACATGGAAAATTAAAAGGCCTAAATTTTTTTCAACAATGTTTTCGTGCAAAATTAAAAGACACAAAAATGATTAAAGATTTGTACGGTTCGTCCAAATTGGTTCCAGCAGCAAATTTTTGACATTTTTAGATAATATCATTATGTGGAGGTTTTAAATATTGTTTTAAAATATAAATTGTTTCTTTTAGGCATTGTTGCTGGAATCTTATCAAGTTTGATAGGGATGCGATCACCGGTGATTTCTTCAATGCTTTTTTTATCCATCTTATCAATATGTTTATTTTACAAACAATTTTCCACCAGCCCTGAAATCATTTTTTTTAATGGATTTTTGGTTGGAGGTCTTTATAATATTACTAGCACTGCAATCTCAATTGATCTCAGTAAACATGATCAGATAAGAAACAAAACTCAAGCATTAGCTACTGTTACAGGTATTATTGATGGTACTGGGCGCTTCGTAACAGCAGTTGTTCGTTGTGTGATACTTATATTAAACATAAATTTGACAATGAATGAAGCTTTGTACTTTTTAATTTTTGTTTCTGGATTCAATTGCCTATGGAGTTTTTTTATTCTATACAAAGATATATTAAATAAGATAAAAACAAAACTACAATTTGCTTACAGTACAATCTAGGTAACGGTCGCACCAGTGTTGTAATTATTTAAATGAATTTTTAGAAAGAGTTTTTTTAAGAGAAGTTTTTAATATTATAAGCACTGCAATTACAATTGATCTCAGTAAGCATGATCAGATTACAAACAAAGCACACACCGTAGTTACTTCGCAACAGCAGTTGGTCCTTGCTTGACTCCTATTTAAATTAAACATAAAATTGACAATGAATGGAGCTTTTTATTTGTTGTTGTTTGTTACTTGATCCAACTGCTTCTGGAGTTTCGGTACTTTTACAAAGATATATTAAACAAGAAAAAAAAAGTCAACTTTTTTTATTTTTAATCTGAAAATAAAAAGTGTTTGTTAAGCAATATTGTAATCTATAGAAATTTACCAAATAGAGTTTTTTTGATAGTTTATATCTTGCAAAATTACTTATCTTTCAAATTATATTGTTTTTGGTTTGATATAAATATAAACAGTAAAAAAAACTGCCAAATTTCATTATGAGTTTTAAACTAACTATTAGGATATAATTATTATAATGTAAAAATAAATTTTTATAGCATTATTGTTAATAAATATTATAATTAACAATAAATATTGTTAATAAATATTATCAAAGAACATCAATACAAGAAGTGAAATGCAACAAGAGTTTTATTACATCAATACAGCCCACATCCAACCAAGACGTTGTGTTCAACAGAGCATTATTGTATCATCACAAGGTAAATGTAACACGGTAAGCCTTGAGAAGCGTGATTATTTATTTTTATTATTTTTATGACTTCAAATGCAAAAATGGCTTTCAACAGTCTTAGATTGGAACTAAGAAAGAAAATTATTGGCAATTACGTAAGTGGAATGTCACAAAAAAGTATTTGTATCGCGTGAAAAAATGGACCGTATCAAGAATATGTTTCAAATATCGTTCTCCGGGGAAGTTGGCAGCAGATAACAGTGGATAAAGGTGGAAGACCGCGTTTCACCACTTCTAGAGAGGATTCTATGATCGTCAGATTCGTCAAAAAGGATCCCTGGATATCATCAGTCAAGATTCAAAAGCGAATAAAGCTGCTTGTATCGGACCGAACTATCAGACGACGTGCTGTTGTAGCCGGATTGTTTTATCGACGCTCTGCAAAGAAACCGCTGATTTCACTGAAGAACCAGAAGAAAAGACTCCTGTTTGCTACATCTCATATTGACTAGAATCTGTAGAAATGGCGAACTGTCCTGTTCAGTGATGAATCGAAGTTCAACATTATTGGGAGTAATGGCATTTGCCGTGTACGTCGACCGGCCAGAAAACGCCTCAATTTATGTTACTGCCATAAGACCGTGAAGCATGGTGGAGGCAACGAAATGGTCTGGGGGTGTTTTTCTGCTAACGGTCTAGGTCCAATACATCTAATCGATAGAATAATGGACTGTTTTATGTATAAAAATATCCTGAAAGATGTTATGTTACCTCATGCTGAATGGAATATACCAATAAAATAGGTTTTTCAGCAAGACAATGATCCGAAATACAGTGCAAAAGTAGTCAAGCAGTGGTTTCAAGACAACCACCTATCGGTGATGGATGGGCCGCCTCAATCTCCGGATCTCAACTCTATCATGAACCTGTGGGAGATCGTCAACTGCAGAATAATTTGTGAAGGTGTTCGTAATAAGGATCAACTGTTTAAACAAATCCAAAAGGCCTGGGCAGCTATTCCACAAAGTTTCATTAATCACCTGATCAAATGTATGCCTCGAAGATGCAAGGCTGTGATCGACAACAAAGGATTCGCCACGAAATATTGATAGTGAAATTCAGTTTGGTCAACATTTTGTGGAGTTGCACTTGTTTTGTCCAGAAAGAAATCAATTTTTTTTAATACTTTTGATTAATTTATTAACTTTCGTGTACAAATAATGAACTTTGTGATAAATAAAACTTGAAGAACGTTGTCTCTAAACAGTTACATAGATATTTCTCTAAATTGAAAAAATGCAGCACTTTTATATAAAGAAACTAAATTTGCATTATTTGGTTGTATTTGTTTTGTCCGATACTGTATATGCATATATATATATATATATATATATATATATATATATATATATATATATATATATATATATATATATATATATATATATATATATATATATATATATATATATATATATATATATATATATATATATATATATATATATATATATTATATATATATATATATATATATATATATATATATATAAATATATATATATATATATATATATATATATATATATATATATATATATATATATATATATATTTATAAGTAATATGTTAATTTATAATAATTTTTCTGTTTTTATTCAAAATTTATTTAAAAAAGTAAGATTATGCTTTCAATGTAGTTATTTTCTCCTTAATTTTGCTTATTTTTTCTTTCAAAAAATTGTCTTTTGTAACCAAATTTCTTTAAATAATAGAAAAATGTTATCTTAAAATCCTTACATTTAGAGTCAGTTTTAACAATGTAAACTCTGATTTTGTTTTTGCTAAAAATACCAAATATATGTCAATAAATAAAATAAAAATAAGTTTTGTTAAAATTTAGTATTAGTAGAATTTGTTAAAAATGAGAATTATTAGTTATTATTAGTTAATTATATATTATTATTTAAAATTAGTAGAACTTTATTATTAAGTATTAGTTAAAATTTAGAAATAGATAGTGTGAAACATCAATTAGAAACAATTTAAAGTTAAACAAAAAAATTAAAAAAAAAAAAAAAAATGCTAATGCTAAAAAAATAACACTTGTGAGAATATTTTTTACTTTTTTATAACTTTTATTTACTTGTTAATTAAGATTTTATTTTTAGGAGCCTTAACTACATCAAGTGTCAGTTGATATATATGTTTTGGTCAAAAACATGTTTGTATTAGATAATTTTATGCTACATTTTTGTTTTGTATTTCAAAAACTCATTTTGCATTATTTAAATATGCATTTAGGAATCTAGAATTATGCGTTTATAGTTTTTGTATTAAGCTTTGTTTTAAATTAAAGAAATTTTATTTGATTAAATGTATTTAACCCTAAAGTTTATTTTTGCCTTCGGTTTTAAAAAAATAAAACAATGGTTTTGGCTATAGTTCATTTTATGTAATGGTTAATGTAATATAGTTTATTTTTATTTGAGTTTTCATGCTATATTTTTTTATACAATGTTCTCATATCCGAAGATATTGTTGGCTTAGCATTGGAACAGCCACTAATAGTCATTAAGATTAATCCAAAGTAGCATCCGTTATTGACCAACATTTTTGCGTACCGAAGTACTACTCAAGCGCTGAGTTGGCGATGGCGGGATTTGAACTCGAATCGTCTAACTATCTGGGTTTTCACTTTTCCTTTAATGCTCTAACCATCTGAGCTATCCCGCCACAAGTTTATTTTATGTAATATGCCGAATGAATTTTTATTAGTTCAACTTCTTTAATTCATTCAGCTCAACCAAAATTTGAAAGTCTGTGATTCAAATTTTTGCTTTTCCCAAAACAAAGTTAAAAAAAATATATGAAGTCAATGATAAATCTTAAAGTTTTACAAAGATTAATGTTAGTAATATTTTTTCTCGGAAGGTATTTTTACTATCTAATCCTAATTTATATTTATAAATTAATTTTATTTTTATAAATTAAATTATTTTTATAAATCTAATTTATCTTTATAAACAATTTTTTTTTAATACTTCGCAATACTCAAAATAAATACCTTGTCAACTCAGCAAGAAAAAAAGAACATTTAAGTTTCCTTTCGAAAGATGCAGTTAGTAAAAATTTAGGTTAGTTATATATAAATATATATATATATATATATATATATATATATGATCTTTATATCCTGTAATTCAGGGGTTCCTAAAGGTTCAATCCTCGACCCGATACTCTTTTTTATTTACATTAACAGTCTTTTAGATATTCTCACATCTAAGGTGGCATTACTCGCTGACGACACTACCATTTATTCTTGTCATGATAAGAAGCCAACACTCTCAGATTGCTTGGAGGGGGTATCTGAGCTTGAAAGGGATCACACCTCTGCTACAGCATGGGGCTCACAATGGATGGTGAACTTTATTTCAGATAAAACTCAATTTTTTTCAACCAATTGTTATCGCAATAATTTAGTTCTTCCTATATTTATGAATGGTAATGTACAAGATGAGTCATCTACCCATCATCTTATAGGATTAACTTTTACTTCTGATCTTTCTTTTAAACTGTATATCAAATCCATTGCAAAATTAGCATCTGCTAAGGTTGCATCTCTTTATCGAATTCGACACTTCCTTACTCCGGATTTTATTTTCTATCTGTCCCTGTATGGAATCTGTCCCTGTATGGAATACTGTTGTCATATCTGGGGCGGATCTTTTAATGATGCCCTTTCTTTTTTAGACAAGGTGCAAAAACGCATTGTAAACATTGTTGGACCTGTTCTTGCAGCCAATCTCCAACCCTTGTCACATCGTCGCGATGTTGCTTCTCTTTCTCTTTTCTACAAATACTTTAATGGGCACTGCTCTAAAGCTAGTTTTTTTCTTCGAACATCAGTTCTTTAGAATTCGCTTCTTTCATTTTGCATCTCTGATTCATACAATTTGCAATCTTTTAAGTCATCTTATAATTGTTATCTTGCTCTACAAACTTAATCCTTTCTCTTTCAATAACTTCCAAACTTTTATAGTGGTTGTTCGCAGCCTTGTTAGAAGTGAAGATGTAATATATATATATATATATATATATATATATATATATATATATATATATATATATATATATATAAATTATAATAGCATACTGTTTTTTAATTAAGTAATATATAGTCTTTCATTCACTTACTTACTTATCTTAAGAATAATGAAATATAAAAAACTTTTAAAGTTGAGAATAGTTTTGATCTTTACTAGTGTGATTCTATCGCCAAGTTTCTTGAATATGATTAATCATTTTTCGATACAAGTGTTGCAAAAAGTAGTATTTTTTTATCATGGTTAAATAATTAGTTTTTTTTATAAGGGTAAATTGCTATCATAAATTAGATAAAAAATTTTGATTTGTAATTATATAAATGATGGTCACTTTACAAATAAACATAATTTACACAAAATTTTTGAATTGATTAAAACACTAATGAATTGCTCCTATGTCCAATATAACTTACACTAAATTGTCCCATATCAATTACACTAGTGTTATCTTTTGAATTTAGAAATAGAAGTTATTAAATGTTGGTGGCTTATCATGCAGTGCATTTGAGAAGGGCATGCTTTCAAAGTAAGTATAATTTTACTATAAAAAGAGCATTTTTAATACCGCAATTATATTGCATACTTGGT